CGCTGTCCCCAGCCAGGGAGCAGGTAGGCTTGGGGACATGCAGGGGCACCACCAGCCCTGGCCATCAGGCATCTGCGTTGAGCAGGATCTCACACCCGTGGGCATGTTTGTGTCCTAGTGGCTGCCATCCTCCAGCACAGGGATGGGTCCCAGCAGGCCAGACAGGTGGGGACTGAGAAGAGACAAGGACCAAGTTTCCTCTCTTGGGAACTGCGACATGGCATCAGCGAGGGTGTAGCAGGTGAGTTTTTGTGCTTTCCAGCTAGAGTCATTTCCCTACTGGAAAGAGTTAACTTTGGAAAGAGGAAGCTGATAGCCAGTTATGCTACCAAAAATCATTTTCCTTCACCAAATGTTTGTCCCAGGAAATGAGGGATAAACAAGGACCACAGGATGAGCTGGACCTTGACAATAATGTCCTATTTCCAACCCCACTAGGAATGCCCTGTGTGATAAAGGCTGGTCCTGGACGGTCGGGATGGATGGAGACGAGTGATCTCTGGAGTCAGGTCTTAGGATATGGGGTTTATTGTGGGGCCCTGCTCAGAGCTGCCAGCCGCAGCTCAAAGCAGGCCCCAAGGAGTGGGGGCAGAGCAAGATAGCAATAAGAGTTCCAAGAGAGGGTCCAAGAGGGCAGAGAGAAGGGGGAGAGCAAGAGGGCGCAGGAGAAGGGGCTGGAGCAAGGGGCAGGAGACAGAGTCTGGTCTCCCAGGAACACCTTATCAAGGGGGTTTCAGAGGGGGGTGTGGAATAGGACTTTGGACCAGTGGGATTACAGATACATGATACTTCAGGGGAGGGTTACAGGCATGGAAGAAACTATACATTTTTGAGGAATGAGACAGAACATTTTATCTGACCTTTGGATCTGTCCGTGGGTCAAAAAAGGGAGTTAAAAAGGTGTTACCTTCTACTGGTGGACACCACAGTCCACCAGTTGCTTAGCAACCAAGGTCCGAAATTTCAAAGCTTCTTCTCATCTCAATTTCACTCACAGTCTCTGTATTTTCCAAATCCTTTGCTAAGCAATCATATTTATAAGACTTTCCCATTTCATCTTCCCCAACAGCCCTGCAGATGCCAACACCTCTCAGAGTACTCGATGGGCACCTGAAGGACAAGTGCTTAACATCTGTTGTGTCTTTTGTTGTGTGAGTCTCGTCATTCTGAGCTTCAGGGTGTTGATTCAACTTTAAGTGATCATATCTAGACAAGAGACATCACTGCAGGCAGACTTTTCTAGGGCATGTCATAGCCTGTGGCTCTCTTGTGTAACTTTCAGACTATGCTAAACCATGTTTCAAACCTCTGGGAATTTGTCTCAGGAGGAAGCAGCTTGCCTTCAGCTGCCAGCTCTCACAGCTACCTATTGACCCTGATGGAACAGGCAGCTTCCTGGGCACGTGCCAAGTGAACTGGCACAAGTCTGTTAGCAGGAGTTTCCTGCGGGCACGCCAGAAATCAGGGGCAGAGCAAGAGGAATGGAGCAGGAAAGAAAAAGTCCAAACTTCTCTAAGTCTGAACCATTGCATTTGGCTTTGCTGTGGTTTTAGCCTGGGGCCCTTGCTAGGTCAAATCCAGTGATCCCAGCATGTCCACAAGGAACTGTCACAGGCCAAACAAGAGAAGTCCCCTTTAAGGTGACTGCCAGCAGTGAACAAGTGGGCTCTGGAGGTCAAGACATCTGCCTGTGTCCAGGGCCTCCTTCAGCTCCCAGCGGGCTTTCTCACCAGCTGCTGGTCTGACCATGCCCTCCATGGATGGTCCTTCCACGTATGATTTAGTGAGGAGAACCTGCAGGAAACACAGGCAGAGCTGGGTGCACGGTGGCTTTGGTGGCCTTTCTCAGGGACACAAGCATGTCTGGATGGCGAAGCACACTCTGCCTTCACTGGACTGAGATGTGCTTGTTGTTCCACGCAGATGCCATTTGGATGCACACTCACAACAAGGACCAGAACTACAGCTGTTATTTCTGGCTCCGTGAAGGGTTGTCTCCCTGGAGCTGCCTTCCAAAGAGGTGGCACAGGTTGGAACAAATGTGAGTTAATATAGTGATCAGGACAAAATCCCTGTAATTGGAATATTTGGGTCATTCTCTCCTATATTACTACTGATTATTGCTTTTTTTGGGATGAATATCTAGGAAACAGAAAAATGCATGCCTATAAAACAGCAAACAAATAAATGGGTTGAAATTATGTGAAACTATAAATGGAATTAGCATTGCTTCTGAGAATTTGGAGACATGACACAAAAGACAGGAGCATTTATTCTGTCCACAGAAGACACAGCTTGAATAGGGGCTGTCCTTGTCTCTGAACACAATGTCTGAATTATTTAGTACCTGGCATTTCTGTTCCAGCAATAGATGCACTCAGAACTCATCTTGTCGGCTTTTACTTTCTTTTCTTTCATTCTATCTTAAACAGACTTGTAATTGCTCCTATGTATTATTTATTGGAAATACTATGCTTGTGTAATATAGCTGTGGGTGCAACGACTCTGTAGGCACAGTTTGCACCCTGTATTTGGAATAATTGTCAGGAAGAAAGAAAATTGGTTCAATACATAGGGTATAAGCATGTAAAAAAAGAAAAAGAACATAAAGTTTCCTGTATTTGCCCATGAATTTCTGTATTCTATGCCACAGAAAACCTGAAGGAAATCATCACTAAAACTGTGCTTCCTTTATTCTGGCTCTATTTCTTCCTCTTCCTTTTTCCTTTTCCCCTTTCCCTTTCTTTTTTCTTTTTGTTTTTTTAGAAGCAGCCTTCTTCTGTTGCATGTAAGGGAGTGCAATCAAAGACTCCATCACATCATATTTCAAATGCTCAATTATTCACTGAATGGTGGAGTCTCCACCCCTGCTTCCTGTATCTATATTTCAATTTACTTTAAAGGATTTACGGTACTATAAATGTCTGGTCAGATGAAACAGATGTGTGTCACCGCTACCTGCCAAGTCTCAGAGAGGATGAGCAGCAGTAAAGGCAGGAGAAACATGAAAAAATCAAGACACAATTTACTTGACCCACTGTTATGTCTAAAAATACCAGCTATACTGATCTTAAAGGACAATGAAATATGGGAAGGTTATTCCATTACGGTGAACAAGCAGATCAAGGATTTATTTTAAAAAGTGAAGAACGTGGACAAAAGGATAACCCTCAGGCAACAACGCACACTTTGGGTGTGCAAGCAGTGCCCTGAAGGGCCAGAATCCACTGCACATTACAGTTCTCTTTTCTTAACCACATCTAGGGAGCTTTCTGCCAATTTTGCATTTACAGACTGGTTTTAGAAAAGATCATACATGAACATACGCTGCATAATTTTATTGTTGAATCTTGAGGAAAAAAAGGCTTATGAAAGTCTTGATCACTGTGTTCCAATATTCAAAGTGTGGTTACAAAGAAGATAGAGAATCCCTTTTTATAAGGAGTCTACGGGAAAAAAAAATGAGCATTAATAGGTACAATTTACTCCTGGGGAGATTCTGATTGTGCACAAGGGGATAGCTTTTCACAATTAGAACAATCCACCATTGGAATAATCTCCCCAGGGAAGTGGTGTATTCCCCAGCACCCAGTGACACTAAAGATTTGTCTAGAGAGGATGCTGAGCTTCTTTTAGACCATGCTTTTGCCTTGAAAGGTTGGTTGGACCAGATGATCCTCAAGGTCCTTCCAACCTGGTACTCCACAATTGATAAAACCCATCTTACGTATCCACAAGCTGCATAAATCTTGTGGAGGCTCTTGGTGCCAACCAGCTCTGTGGGTTAACAATGGGAGAGACATTTATCAGAGAGGTGTCTTGCAAAATGTGGTCTGTTTTACACACCTTGTAATCCCATGCAGCCTAAGTGGGCTGGAATCCTTGTGTTTTTTGTTTTTTTTTTTCTCATGCATCTTCCTTTCTGTAAAAGATGGAAAACTCAAGTATCTTGCCCCCAGAGGAAGAAATATGCCTCTCAGTGACCAACTGACCAGACAGTCCCTTCCACATGCTGTGCTGAACTTCAGGAATGTTTGTGACGTGGAGCTGTCATGTGGAGATTATTGCTGAGGAAACTGCATCTCCCACAGATGTGTTAAAAATTCCCCTGTGGGCCCAGGAAAGCAGGGGTAAATCCCATTTATTTCTCAGATAAAGGTGGCTAGAGAGCAGCTCTGCCTTACTGCCGTGATGTGACCTCTGCACACCTCTGAGCAGCCCCTTAGGAGCAAAACCCAACCAATAAAGAAGGGAGATAAATACTGTCTTTGCTGGGAACCTGCTGGCTGTCATCAGCTGCTCCTGCACAAGCGAGTCTGGGAGTTGTTGCAGCAGAACACTTTTGCCTCTGGCATGTAAAATGCAAGATGTGCTGTCTTATTAAGCAGTTTTCTGTTCTTTTAAGGGATTTTTGCACCCCTGCAGCCACAGAAGACTGACTTTGCTTTACTTTAAAAACTTAAAATGTTGTAAATACTTCGATGTAAAGAATTTTATGGATTTTTGCCATAGGAATGGCATTTTGACTCGTATTTCAGTGAGACATTAAAAAAACATGCTTGTGTGCATTTTTTAAATTGCTGTTGTTACCATTTGCACAAAAGGCAGTAAAAGCTGATGATATAGTGATTTGTTTTGTACTTTTTAATGTAAGACTGGCAGAAAAATAGTCTTGTTGCTCAAGAGGCTTTAAATCCCCACCCTTGAGCTGTGATTCAGCAAATTCCTGGAGTAACCCTGGTCTGAAGCCCGGGTTCCTCCTTGTCCTATCCTGCCAGGGGTGGATTTCTCCTAGACAAGCCAATGAACAAAAGCCTATTTATTTATGTATGTGGTGAAGAGGAAACTTACTCCAGTCTCCCCACCTCTTCCTGCAAAATGTTAGCTCTCTTTTGCACCAATCTCTTTGGATCCTGAATGAAAAGGAGCGGCAGCGGAGCTGGGGTATAGAAACTGCTGTAGTGAACATCACTCCGGGGCTCTGCTGCGCACCTCGTACATAATCGCTCTCACCTCGTTTCACCTACAGAGAGAAGCAGAAGCCGGCTGCCCGCATCTTCAGCAAACCGAGGGTGCTCCTTTGGAGAGGCAGGGCTGAGCCCTCTGTTAATGACTGACATCATCGAGGAAACACGCTTCCTTGCTATTTATTTTTGGCTGCATTCCCCCCACCCTGGCAGTATCTTGATGGGGAAGCTGATCTCCAAATGCTGGAGGAAAAGAGATGTGCAAGTTATCATGCTGGGGCTCGACTTTGCCGGCAAATCCACCCTCCTGTGCAAACTGAAGAGTGGCCAGGCTGTGGAGACCTGCCCCACGGTGGGATTCAACGTGGAGTCTCTGGAAACACCCTGTGGCATTTCCTTCACCCTCTGGGATGTTGGTGGACAAGACAGCCTGCGGGCCAGCTGGCCTAACTACCTGGAGGACATCGACACCCTCGTCTTCGTGTTTGACAGCACGGACACGGCCCGGCTGGCCGAAGCAATGGCAGCACTGGAGGAGGCCCTGAGCCACCCCTGCATGGCTGGCATCCCTGTGCTCCTGCTGGCCAACAAGCAGGACGTGCCAGGAGCGCTGGCTCCAGCCAAGCTGAGGGAGATGCTGCAGCTGGGGGGGCTGGCAAGGCACCACTGGATGCTCCAGGGGTGCAGTGCCCACACTGGCCAGGGCCTGCAAGAAGTCCTGGCCATCCTGGGAATGCTGCTGCAGGGCTCAGAGTAGAGCTCCCTATCCCAGGAGCAGTTCATCATGGGGCTGGCAGAAAGGAGGCAAGCTCCAGAGCAAACCTGAACCTCACATGGACCCCGCCCTCTCATGGCTGCCAGCAGGTTTGTCATGGAGGATTCCAGCCTCCAGGCAGCCCTACAAGGAGCAGAGCTGCAGCTGGCACACTCTGTGAAACACCCAGCTCCTCACCACCAAAACCCAGCAGGAGGATCTCTGAGCAAACTCCCATCATGGAGCAGGTTTGGCCACATCTCTTGGACTCTCATCTCTGGCTGCAGCTTGTCCCACTGTCACCATGTTCCACTCATCCACTGCACTTGTGTGTCCAGAGGTTCAGCAAGGATGCCTTTTAACATTTAAGAATTATAACAGAGATGTGTGCAAAGAACAGAAGTTTTCTTCATTCTGCAGCTCTCAGCCCAGATACATCTATCCGGATGGGATGATCCCCACAAGGGGGGAGCTTGGATGTGCCCCATTCTGCTTGTCTCTCAGCATGGATTCCATTTCATTGGCTGGGAACACAGGAAAGCACTGAAAAAAATGGCTGAATGGGAGCAGTGTAAACTCAGGACATCAAATGGCCAAGCAACTGATTGGTTTTAGTGTGGCATCTCCAGGTATAATAATCTTAAAACCATGGAAGCAAGCTGGGATTTTATGGTGTAATGCAGTTTGAGGATGTATGTATATTAATTTATGCATTTCTTGTAATGGTTCTTTATTTCTCCATCATTTTTATCAAAGAATTACTTCAAGAAAATGGTCCCTCATTTTCCTTGGACTATGTTTAAATATAAAGAAATCAGGTGTGACTTTAAGATGCTTGGAAATACGTCTCCATGGCCACCTCTAAATATTCTCATGGTGACCTGAACAGACAAAAGAAAACCCTGGAGACTTTTGGAACTACATGACACCACTCCACATGCATTGGTTGGTAACCATGGGCACCTATGGACACAGGCAGGTTTGGTGACCAAAGGTGTCTCCAACCTCAGCTGTGTCAGGGCAAATGAAAACGCTCCTGGCAGCTCACAACAGTACAAGGTACCATGTGGCACATCAAATCTTGTTCAACCTACCATTGGAAGGACCTATAAAATGGGTATCCAAGATTCTGTTATCCAGAGTTAAAATTAAAATATTTCATAGTAGTCTCTGCTTCATTATGAAATGAATGGGGGAAGGGGAGGGATAGGATACATTTTTATTTCTATTTTCCATTTCTGTTCCTATTCAGAAATCAGCTGCTTTCAAGGAATGGCATACTCAGCCTAGAAACACCAAGGAGAAATACACAACAAAATCCCCCTCTGTTCATACCAGATCATTTTACAGTTGTTAAGGAATTAATTGTCCAGCTGGTCCTGGTGCTGTTATTAACCACACTTCATAGGAGGCAGCAGCTGGAATAGAGAGCTCAAACTGTCACAAAGAAACAGAAGCAGACACTTATAGGGAAGTCTCAATAAAATAATCCTTTCCAACTGTTTTAGATGCATTAATGTAGAACTACTATGTGTTATAAAACAGTGCTGCAGCATCAATGTGGCCTAAGCAATCACAGTTATGAGTGTATTTAAACAGCACTGAACCATATAATTAATTCCATGACCTTTGTACATGGTGAGGAGGACAAAATCACGTCTTCAAATCTTTGCAGGTGACATTAGCTGGTTGATCTACCTCCAGCTTGTTGCAGGTGGTAATTTTTTGTCTCTAGCATACAAGGCTCCAACACATCTGTTGGCCATTTTGGACACGAGTTCTAGAGGCACAACATGAAAGACTCCATGCTACATTGCCATGCCAAAAAAAATTGTCCTTGTTGAGTTTTCTGGTGTTTTGGTCTTGTGTCTCACATGGCACAAAACAGAGAATTGTGCATCAAGGTAAATTCAACAGAGACTAAAAGGCTGTTGTGGTGATGTCTTACTCCTAAGTACCCCTTGATACCTGCTTTGACTCTACAGGATTGTCTGCTAGTAGTTAAAAGAGGCACTGAAACCTTCCTATTTTCCTCTGAGTGTTTTTTAAGCTCTTCTAAAAGACAAAAAATAGGCTCCTCTGGCAGCAAATAGAGGTAACCACCAGCCTTTGGCAGACATCATGAATTAAAAATGAAAACAGCAAGGTGGGAGGTGGGAAAGAAAGGGCAATGGGAATCCTGAGGGTTTTAAACTGGTGAAGCAACATTCCAGTTACTGAAATTGTTCTCACTTCCCCTGAAGCAGTAATTTGGCAAAACACCCCATCTCATGGGGCATCATGTGATTTACCATCCTTGTTTTCTGGAAGAAGGCTTTTCTGGACGCTTGGTCACATTACTCAGCCATTGTTCAGAGACTGTCAGAGCAATAATGGGTCATAATATTTGAAATAGCAACACAGAGTTTGCTTCTGGTGATGTCTCTTTTCTCCTGTGTTGGACAGCTGCTAAAACAAGTCAGTCTAATCACTGCACTGCGCTAATCCAAGGCTTGCAGGTCGCTCACCCAAGAGCACTTAAATGTTTCGGTGTCAAAACTCCTGCCTGGTTCAAAGGGAGCAGCATGGCAGTCTGCAGGAAGCAGCCAGCTCTAGGGAGGAAAGTTTGTTACCTCTTTCCTGGCAATTCTGCAGGAGAGCTCCTGCCACATGGAGTGATATTAATCCCTAAATCACCTATCCTTATAGATTTCAGCCAGAAGGGCACCCTCAAACTTATTTTCCTTCTTCTCAGGCATGTGATAGATGTCACAGTCTCCGCACTGATTTCTGAAAATAACACACCTTCTCTCTGAATAGCAGGTGAAAGAAAAATGCTTAGAACTTTGTTTCAGGCTCCTCACAAATTTGAAGCATCCTTCAGGTTATTTGTCCCAGAGCCCACTCTGGTTGCCCAAGACCCTTGTAGAAACTTTGCTGGATGCACTCTGGTGTGCATTGACCTTTACAGTGACATATCCAGAACCCATAGTTGTGCATTAATCTTCCCAGCCACCCCCCAACCAAGATGAGCCATATAATCATCTACCCTTGCTTGGAGCTGTCACAGCAGCTTCCCTGCCCAGGTCTATCAGCAATTCCAGCCCCTGGGCCTCCCATCCCATCTCTGTTTTGCAGGGATCACTGCAGTGGGAGTTACCACCATGTCTTGCTGTTTTTTCAAGGACACCAAGACACTTCATTAATTTTTCACACTGCTTATGAAAGGACATATCTTATCCCTCACTGATTTACTAACTTTTCTGTGGGACTGGTTTTTAAAGCCGCTTCCTGATATGAACTCAGCACAGATTTATTTTTTAATTCTTATCAAGAAGTTTTTTATCCTACTCCAGAGAGCAGGAAAGCAGCAAACAAAAGAAAACCCAAACAACCAACATTAAAACCAGGACTGATGATTAATCTTTCCCTTTTCACCAGCACAGGAAAGGTGACTCACCTTTTTCCTGCTCTCTTCACAGCTTCCATTTTTCAGCCAGTCCACGACACAAAACAGTTTCTACTTGCACAGTAGCTGATTTCTGCTGCTGGCATTGTTGCTTTCTTTTCAGATGGAGCTATGTTCCATTTGTCCTGCAGTTTCTGGTGAAGCTTCCTGGATGGGTTTCAGTATTGCTGAAAGGCCTGAGATCAGAGGGGAACCATGAGATCCCAGGGCTGCAGGGTGAGGGCATGGACAGTTGCCAAAAGTATTTAGAGGGAATAGGCAGGCACAGAGTGCATGAGAGGGATCTGGGACCGGATGTAGCACAGGGAAGAGAGTGTTTGGGCAGCAGCCAGCGACCTGGAAAATGTTTGGGGGAAGAAAGGTCAATCAGATTTTTTTTTTAAAGGTTAAGAAGAGCTTTCTTTTCAAATACAATATGGAAAAAAATATTCCAATTCCCCTTTTTTGTTAGGAGACAGGCTGTATAATGCAGTGAAATGTCTTAATTTTTGCTTAATATGCCTCACACCTCTTCCTCTTGAAGAAACCCTGAAATATCACCTATGAAGATTCTCCACAGGTAATTTACCAACAAAAAACAAGGAGCAAAACCACGTGTGATGCTATCTCTCAAAAAAATCAAAACTGGTGCCAAAGGGTATTAAAAGCCAGTCATGCAATAATGATTAAGACAAATTACAAACTATTGTTCAATACATCACAGGCTTCAAAGGGCTCATTAACTGGCCTTCATCTAAGCTTTTCCACACTGGATTTTTTTCATTATGCATTTGCTTGAGTCGAAGCCCTGAGTCTGCCATCTGGATATTACTAAAAATGCCAGATGATGGCTGGGATTTGGGTTAGGAACTCAGCAATGCATCCATAGCCAGGAGTGCATCATCCCCACATCTCATACTTCACACAGTGTGACTTGCATAAAATTCCTGCCAAAAGAGGAAAAAAAGATAATTTAACCAACTGCTGTGACCCAGACCTGACAAGTGTGTCCCCCTCTGCCTGTGCTCCACCTGCCTCTCTGTGGCCTGAGCAGAAGCACAAACCTCTGCTCCAACCCAACCTGCACACTTCTCCTCTCCAAAGTTCTAATGCTTTAAGGCAGACCAGCACCATCTATGTCTTGTCTGCTAATTGCTGTGAGAAACAATCTCTCTGGAGCTCCTAGAGCTGACAAACTGTTCTTTCATTCTCCCTTACACCTCAGATTTTTTTAAAGACTTTTTTGGTTTGTGCTGGCTAAACACATTTGGATGTGCTAATGAGGGTTTTTTTTCCAACAGGCCACAATCACTAGTACCAAAAAAATCCTGCTTGGTGAGCAGTGGCTCTGCAGCAAAGCTTTGCTTTGGGCATAAGAGAAATATTTGCTTTTTAATCGAACAGCATAGGGTTACAAAGCCACTGGTTTCTGCAGAGAGACAAAATCACATTATTAAACCATGTGAGGTTTGGTAATGGTGGGAAAGGACTTTGGAAAGACCAAACTGGGGGTTTCCTGGGGAAGAAATATACCAGCTGGGAGGAGAGTTGTGGCCCTCATTTCCCGGGGGATCGGGGGACAGTCTGTTCTGCTTATAAAAACACAAAATTTACACCTCATGATTTTCTGGCTTTTGACATCCCTTAACATCCTTTTGTTTAATAATGGTGATGAAGACCAGTGCTAAAAGTCCACCCTTCAATACAGGCAGTATTTTCAGAGAC